TCTCATAAGTTGGGGACCTTTCACTTTGAGCAACACATGATTTTGTGTGTGGGGGGTGGGTTTTAATACTCTTAATGACAACTATTACACCATCTAAATAGCCTTATCAACCTTTTGCAGCATTAAAAATTGAATTCCAGAACCCTTTGGTCACCCCATACACATAGCAATAGTCTGTCAGTTCCTACTTACCTGGCCATTCAGCAGAGTTAGCAAGGCAGGTGATTGAAACAAAAAGGAGTTCATTATCAATCCATGAGTTGTTTTTCCCCCATGGAATTTATGAATTACGTGAGTGGATCTTCTTTTTGTTGATTTGGAACACTGTAGGTAAAACCATCCCGATTTTGGCTCGAAAAGAATCAGATGAGGGATAAAAATGACATCAATTCATTATTTTGAGTATTAGATCATATCATTAAAATAGATGGAATATTTTAGGACTGAATTTGTTTTTATATTTTTAATGCAGATAATTCCTGTCCATGCAGACTCAGGGTACTTAATGTTTATAGTATCTTTGGGGCAAACAACACCTAGTTTTAATGGAAAAATCTCTGAACACTTGGGCTGGAAGAGATTATCTTTTAGGTGTAATAGATTCAAATGGACAGCTAGGAGGCATGGACATGTAATGTGGTACACACACAAAACAACTGTGTATGCATAGCGAAGTGTGAATACTACTTTTGAAAATGATAGACTGACCTTATTTCCTTAACAGCAGACTCTACTCCCAACTCTACAGAGTGTGATACTTATAAGCTCAAAAGAAACAAAGTAACTTAGGCCTGATAGTTTTGCAACCTTTTAGGATGCCATGTGTTTCCATTATCAGAACAGCCAGGAATGAGTTAATAACAGGTGACAACAGCAGATTTTAAAGTTATTTTGGCTATACAGAGTGCTGAGCTAGAAACCAATGAAACAAAAGTTAATAAGGTAAAATGTAGCCTCGTTACACTTACTAATAAAAACTAATAAAAATCTGAGATGGGCTAAAACTATAGGGATGGAGAACGGAGTGGGGGGGGGTGGGCTAAGGGGGAGTGTTTGACCACAGAGAAGCTAGTGAGGAAGTTTTATGGGAGTGCGGGAAGAGTTCTGTATCCTGATTATGGCAGTGTTTCTATGACTACACAAGTTCCAGATTGTTTATTTTTTAAAAAATGGCAGGACCTGGCTCTGTCATTAGAGAGTGGCTAGCTTTCTGTTTTTAAATGAGGGAAGTGATAAACTTGAGATCAAGAATGTTTTTAAAACCTCAAAGGTAACTTACTTAATTTTTAAGTGTTCATGCCTTTCAAATCACTACAGGAGTGGGCAAATTGGTCCATAGAACAAGTAATAGAAAACAAAAGAAAAAAAGTAACAGAGGCAGTAGAGATCAAATATTAGTTATAGAACTACTAACCTTTACTGAGGTCCATAGAAGATTTTACTAGATGGGTATATACTGTCTTCCAGGATGTTGACTCGGTATTATTAAAATTCTAGTTAGTACTCTTAGATTCATCCAACATTTTTGGGAAATTGTTCATAACATTCTGAAATAATGTAGTCAGGAAAATCCTGGAAAGTATTTTGAAAAACTAATTAGGAGGGAAGTCATAGAGGATGGGAAAGGGCAGGCCCCATAAAGTACATTAGCAGCAATAATTAAAACCGTGTGGTGTTGTAACCGGAGTAGGTATGTAGATCCATGGACAAGGCTAAAAAGTCCAAAAAAGTAGAATCGAATCTATTAAACCATGTCTTAACAATTAACCATTTGGGGTTAAGACGTTGCATCCCTACCTCATTCTTTACCCCCAGATACAATCTAGAAGAAGTCCAAACATAAAAATTCTAGAAAATACTGAACACGTAGAAGTGATGCACTGTCAATCACATTAACTGCCCCAGTTCTTATATTCTTAAGAATTTGATTAACTGTTTTTCTCTGTGGCCATTGCAGAAATGGGCCTGAACAGTTCACTCACAGAACTGGAGTCTCTTTCTAAATCCAACAGAGCACATGCTTTCAGTGACTGGCGTAGGGAAGGGCAGATGGACCCTGTTACATGCAGAGTCTTAAACTGGATGTCAAAAATCATGATGCGTACTGCTAAACTGACACATTCAAATTGGGAGGTGGTTTAATCATGTGTATCTAGAGCCGTAAAGCGAATATTTTCATTCCCTTAGCAACGCTTACTTTCATGGGTGGGGATTGAACCATAGTGTAGAGATGCTTAGGCAAAATCTGAGCCTTTTACATTATCGACCAGCAGATGAGTTAGAATGATCCATCCATACAGTGACAGCTTTCGGACCATAAAAAGGTGAGCTTATACTTATCTAGATAATTAAAATTGAAAATGATCCTCTTAAACCGAGCAACTTTAAGGCTTTTTGCCCTGGGACGCATCTGAATTTTTTCACAAGAATGTGCGTAACCTAAAAGCCCAGTGTGGTGGATTCAGTTATGGTACAGAATCCTGCGTCACCTTTAAAAAAAAAAATCCCTTTCTTAATGAGAGAGAATTCTTAATGCTTTAAAAATTTACCATGTAAAGACTTGACTGCCATATTTTTTTTTTTTTTTTTTTGGCTGTGCTGGGTCTTTGTTTTTTTTTTTGTGCTTTTTCTATTTGCAGTGAGCGGGGGCTACTCTTTGTTGTGGTGCACGGGCTTCTCGTTGCAGTGGCTTCTCTTGTTGCGGAGCACGGGCTCAGTAGTTGTGGCGCACAGGCTTAGTTGCTCCACGGCATGTGGGATCTTCCCGGACCAGGGCTCGAACCCGTGTCCCCTGCATTGGCAGGCGGATTCTTAACCACTGCACCACCAGGGAAGCCCTTGACTGCAATTTTAAGACGTAAAACGTATGAACATGACTTACAAAACACTTCAAGTCTTTCTCAAAGCATTGACACCACTTCTGAGCATTTATCTTGTTTCTAGTTTTTTGTCGTATTTTATTGTAAGTTAGGCAGTTGTACCAATGCAGGAATGCTAAGCTCTGGCTAGGAGAGGTATAAGGCATCCAGAATCTGAGAACGGCAATTAGACTATCATTTCCATTGATTGGGACCCTGTATTTTCTGCTGATAAGGCTTTGGGATTAGCGTTTTCATCTGAAGGTTGTCATCAGTATCCAGGTCCTGTTGTCTTTGGATGTGGAGTATCTTTTTTGGTAGGTTCCAGTCTTTGTCGATGGTTGTTTAACAATGAGTTGTGATGTTGGTGTGCTCGAGAGAGGAGGTGAGCTCAAGGTCCTTGTACTCCTTCTTCCTTACTTATCTCCAGGTCCTGTTTTGCATGCTTTTTATATGTGATGCAGGTCAGTTGCACCCCCAGTACGTTTCTATGATTAGAAGTGGCGGAAAGGGTGGCTCACACTTTCCAGACCACAGCCCTTCCACTGTGGGTACTATAAAAACAAAACTAACACCCACCTCTTTTGAGGCTTCCGCCAGCTGCTTGCATGAAAGTTGGTATCCAACTGGTGGCTTCCAAGTGTCAGGAAGAGACAGGGAAGGGACTGCAGTAAACTGCTGCTCTCCAAGTGCTGGGAGGGGCCGGCCCAGTGTTCCCAAATCTTCAAGCAATTCAGAGATTTTTTTTTTAAGCATTTACATGAACCAAGTAACATATCTAGACCAGCTTCAGCCCCCTAGACAACCAGTTTCCAACCTTTTAGCTAAACCAGTCCTTCGACCCTTCTAACTTGTCATCTTCTGGTTTCCCGATTACTCATCCTCAAGGTCCAGAACCTTGACATGTGCAGCTCATCGTCTTCCTGTCAACTCTCCACCCCATTTTCCATCCTGGATTCTCAGACTACAAGGGAATTTCTGGAATTGTAAATTGGTACAATTAAAATGTTATGATCTTCATTTGGATGGTCTTATCACAGGTTCTTGGGAATTTCCTTATGACTGTTGCTTTCAGTGAGCACTTAGTGCCTGGAATATAGTAGACATTCAGTACATACTAGCCGTTTTATTGCAGCCATTACTGCCCTTGTGCTTCTTGTTGCCCAGCATTTAAAGAAAAAGTAAAGGTTATCTGGAAGCAGCAGTGTCCACCACCCTTCCTGCCCAAACGGGCAACGGGACACATGCAATTTCATAAAGACGTAAAACCACACTTTTCTGCCCGTCAGAGGAACAGGTGAAGTTAGGCTGGTGTGCTACCATTGACTGGTGGCTCAATCTAGGAACTGCTCTTTTTTTTGGCGGGGGGCGGGGGGCAGGCATGCAGCCTGGCATATGGGATCTTAGTTCCCCAACCAGGGATCGAACCCATGCCCCCTACAGTGGAAGCTCGAAGTCTTAACCACTGGACTGCCAGGGAAGTCCTAGGACCACTCCATTTTTAATTCCCATGCCCCTTACTCCCAAATCCCCAACTGGAAGTCACCACAGTGTTTTTAGCTGACCTTCCTTCCTTTCCTGTGAAAGTTCTTTGGTTTCCGTGGTCTGCTTCTCAGAGTTCTGCCTCCGTGGTTGGTGTCCTCCACAGCTTTTGCTGCTTAGTTAGGGCTGTGTGGTTCTTTCTTCACTTCTCTCCTGATCCTCTTTGCAGTGCCAAGCTGATGTATTTGATCCCTAATGTACCTGTTCACTTGAAACTCTTGTCCAAACCAAACCCTTTTCATGGCATTCCCCCCACCAAACCTGGTGTGAACAAGGTGTTGAGAGGTAGGGGTTATAAGACAATAACAGAAAAACCAGTGTGGAGCTGTCCCTGTAGATCACCATGACTTTATTCTTGAACAAGTCCTTTGTAAATAAGTTGTTCCTCTCCCTAACTCTAAACTTTTGCCTTTATGATCATCATCTATGTACCTCACTCCAGTACAACTGGGAATAATTCGATTAAACAATTTGAGTCACTGTATAGTATCTGATTCTAGTATCTCTCAAAGATGAGAGTACGTATTAATTAGAATTTTAATTGAGAATATAACCAATTTGGCTTTTGTGCTGCCATTGTAGTCCTTGTTTAAGCATATAAAAATGGGCACTGAGTTCTGGGTACATAACAGGAAAAAGAATCTGGTTTTAGATCACAGGTACCAGAGCTCAGCACTCCTCATGGTCTTATTTTTAATCTTCTTTCTACACCTCCCTTCCCCCCAGGATGTTGCTTCAGAGTGTGAAGTCAAATGCATGCCAACCTTCCAGTTTTTTAAAAAGGGACAGAAGGTACGTACATCTGACCTTGAAGAAAACCAGCTGGGTAATTAATACGAAAGCATGATATATAAAAGAAGAAACTGAAGTGACTTACCCTTCACATTGGGAAGCACATCCCCGTTTTTTCCTTTTAAGAATATTTAAATATGTCATTCTTCAGTAAGTACATAATGTGACATCTCATTGATAATTGATCTTTGCTAAAACTAAAATCACAGGGATTTGGTGATTAATCCCTGTGATTGGTGCTTCATGTTTATATCACAGTGCATTTATCTTTGTTCAGAGGTATTTGTGTAAAAAAACTGAGTCTTGACTTTTGAGGGGTTTTTGTTTTTGTTTGTTTTTAACTTTAAAGTTAAAAATGTAAATGGATGTAAATTTTAAATAAGCTTATACTTCCTCTCCTCCCCAGGCCCATTCTGTGGTCATATCTGATATACAAAATAGGGATGCAATGCTACATCTAATGGCAATTCAATATTCTCTCAACAGGTGGGTGAATTTTCTGGAGCTAATAAGGAAAAACTTGAAGCCACCATTAATGAATTAATCTAATCATGTTTTCTGAAGACATGACCAGCCTTTGGCTGTTTAAAACTTGTAATTTTTTTTATTTACAAAAAGGAAGGATCAAGTATGAAGACTATATACCTAACTGCCATCTGATAAGTGATAATAAAATATTAACTGTACCCTTTTTAAAACTGTCTGGTGTTTTTGCATAGTTTTCAAAATAAATGAAAACTGGCCATTTGATGATATTTAATGTCCTAGTTATTTTCATATGTTCTTGATCACTTTTTTTTTTTTTTTTTTTTAACCTTGTAGGCCACTGATGATTGAAGATTTTTCATGTACTTCTAGGAAAATCTTGTTGGAGGCAATGCACAGATAATAGAGTAATATGTTAAAATTCTGTTATTATTTTTGACCAAGTATTATTTTTTGTTCTAGCAAGCAGATCTCCTCTGCTCTCTGAATGGTCCTCATGACCAAAATTGATGTCTGCCCATGAAGGAATTGTTTATCTCTGGTTTCAGATTCCTGTCCCAAAGGTTACAGTGAGGTGCCAATTTTGCTAATGGTAAAGGAGTTCTATTATCTGTTAGGAATTCTTCATAGGTGGCTCACAAGGGAGTTCCCGCAAACATTACTGTGGGAATTTAATTCTCTCAAGTATCTAAGAAACTGGTTTTATAGGCCAGATAGAAGTTCCAACCTAAGCAGTAAAGAGTGTGGACGTTACTGTTAATTTCATTCAAAGAACACTGTTTCTTGTGTTCTAGACCCAAAGGGCTGGAGGAATGCTTGCAGAAATAGTTTTTAAATTTGTACAGTAAAAAATCAGAATTAAATCATATGCTCCTCGCCATCCTTACATTAATTTAATCTTTGCAACAATCCTATGAAGTAGGCACTGTAATCCCCACTTCCCAGTGAGGAAACCGGCAAAGAGGTTAAGTAATATCCCCAGCATCACACTAGTCAGTGGAGGATACGAGATTCAAACCAAGTGAGTCTGGAGCCTGAGTGCATGCTCAACTATTACACTGCTGCTCAGTGTAACAATGTAATAACTAGGTAAAATGATGGGCCCTTAGCTGGGTTTCTTTCCTCATCTGAAAATCAGGATACTGAACTTAGATGAACTTTAAAAATATTAATTGAATGCTTATTATGTGCCAGGCACTGTGCTAGGCTAGGGATATAGCTGTGAATAGGACACCCTTCTCATAGAGCTTACATTCTAGAAAGGGGGCAAACTAATGAATAACAGACTGTGGAATATACTATGAGGGCAAAACAAATGGACACAGTAATTGAGACTAATAGGGGGACCTGCTTGGGATGGAATGGTTCTGACAGGAGACTAAGCTAAGACCTGATGGTGAAAAAAGACTGGCCAGCAAAGAGCCAGGCACTCTACTTCCCAGCAGAGAGAACAGCATGCAGCAAGACCCTGAGTCAGAGAACTTGGTACATTATAGACCCAGCAGAGATGCATGAAATAGAGGCAGACGGTGGCAGCACCCAGTCATCCAAGGCTTGTTCTAGGTGCAAAGGGAAGACATTGAAAGGTAAGCCTGAGGTAACGTGCTTGGATATTAAGAGTTCATTTTGGCAGCTGTACTGAAAATGGGTTGGAGAAGGAGGCAAAGAACTAGAAAGTCATTTAAGCTTTGGCATTTATCTAGGCCGGAGATGATGATGCCTGTGATTGGTTGATGGTGGGAGAGAGGGAACAAAGTGAGTATGGACTCAACATTTAGGAAAGACAATCCGAGGGACGTCTAGGAGTGGGATTCTAGAGTAAGTACCAGGTTTTTGACTTGAGCAAATGGGTGGTTGGGGTGCCATGTAATGAGTAAGCTAAGGAATTGGGGGGGAGGGGGCAGGTTCTCTTGGGACATGTTAAGACATGCTTTGGTGGTGTACATTTAAGATGATGTTATGCAGGCTGTTGGGTACTAGCCTGGACTGGAATAGGAATTTGAAAGATGTAATGTAGATGGCTCTTAAATGTGTGAGATCACCCAGGAAGAGAATCCAGAGTAAAGAGGGCTCAAGACAGCTTGATGAGCTCCCAACATTTAGAGACCAAGTAGATCGGGAACCAACAAAAGAGACATAATGGAAGCCAGAGGGGAAGGAGGAAAACCAAGAGGGTTTTATCCCAAAAGCAAAAAAAACATTTCAAAAAGGAAGGTGTGTCAACTATCAAATGCTGTTTTGAGACTAAGAAAGATGACAGGAAAACAAAATGGAGGGAGATTGTGACAAAATTCTTATGGAAGGATAGGGATGGAAGCCAGGTTGGTGAGAACTGAAGAGTCAGTGATCAGAAATGACCCAGAAATCACACTTTTCATATCCATCCTAAACAAAGTATCATTTGGAAAGAAAAATGTCCAAGGATGATTGTTGCAGCATTGTTTATAGCAGCACGAAATTGGATCCCCATCAATAGAGAAATAGTTGAATCCAATATGATAAATCCTTTCTAGGTAATGTAGAATTTGAAATAAAATTCCTATTTATGGCAAGACAAGAAAAATCTAAACATAAAAGTTCTTCTCTGCCCTTTGGCCTCCCCTCTCTCCTCACTGTGCATTGTGTATCCACATGACGCATTGACCAAACCTCCCCCATCAGCAGGAATACCTGTTCAACCGTAAACAGCAACATTCACCTAGCATCAATAAGACAACTTCTTAAAAGATAATATTTCTTCTTGATCTTGTAAAGGGTCACATGACCTACCACAATGGCACTCAAATCTGGATTATGTAAACTGTCATTAATGCACCAGTTAATGTACAACCCTCTGTCTCAAAAAACATAAACTGTCTTGACTTGTAACAGGTGGAAGAGTTCTCAGAGCTTTCTGAGATGCTCTTCCCAGGTTATAATCCTCAAATTTAGCTGGAATAAAATTTTCCAATTTTTCTTAGATTAATTTTTCGTCAACAATAGTTATTAATACTGAAATAGGAAAATTTCAAAGTCACTGAGTGAAAAAAGTTACAGAATGTGAACAATACAGAACAGTACAATTTTATTTGTGTAAAACACAAGACATGCTAGATACCTCAGTAGGTAAATCTGCGTGTAAATTAACATGAGAAGATCTTGAAGGAAACATTTCTAGCCAGAGCAGTGACTTCTGGAGAGGAGGGTAGGTAGAGATTGATGAGTTTTAGTTTTATCCATAAATGTTTGGATTTTTCATAACAAGAATGTACTCATGCATTACTACAAGTTAAAAAAAAATAATAGATTGTAAAGACGGGGAAGCAGGGTCTGTAAAACTCATGCAAAATTTTCTCTAAAGTAGAGCTGAGAGATAATAGACATTTTCTGTATAAGACAGTGGGTTTGCTAGCATGCAAATGGAAATGATACAGAAATAGAGATCAATTTTGTGGGAAAAAGGATTCCTGAAAAGGAATTCTTTGTGTAGTCAAGAAAGAATGGGTGGGGGGAGCTTTCAGGAGACAAGATGGAGGGAATAGGAGGACCTTGCGCTCACCTCCTCTCATGGGCACACCAAAATCACAACTGCTGGACAACCATTGATTAAAAAGACTGGAATCGGGGCTTCCGTGGTGGCACAGTGGTTGAGAATCTGCCTGCTAATTCAGGGGACACAGGTTCGAGCCCTGGTCTGGGAGGATCCCACATGCTGCAGAGCAGCTAGGCCCGTGAGCCACAATTACTGAGCCTGCGTGTCTGGAGCCTGTGCTCTGCAACAAGAGAGCCCACGATGGTGAGAGGCCCGTGCACCGCAATGAAGAGTGGCCCCCGCTTGCCACAACTAGAGAAAGCCCTCGCACAGAAACGAAGACCCAACACAGCCAAAAATTAGTTAATTAATTAATAAACTACCCCCAACATCTTCTTAAAAAAAAAAAAAAAAGACTGGAATCTACCCATGAAAGATATTCTACATCCGAAGGCATAAAGAAGAAACCATGAGACAGTAGGAGGGGTGCACTTGCAATATAATCAAATCCCTTACCACCTGGGTGAGCAACCCATGAACTGGAGAATAATTGTATCACAGAAGTTCTCCCACAGAAGTGACAGCTCTGAGTCCCATGCCAGGCTCCCCAGCCTAGGAGTCTGGCAGCAGGAGAAGGAGCCCCTAGAGCATTTGACTTTGAAGGCCAGTGGAGCTTAATTGCAGGAGCTCCACAGGACTGGGGGAAACAGAGATTCCACTCTTGGAGGGTGCACACAGAGTCTCACACACACTGGGTCCCGGGGCAAAAGCAGTGCTTCCATATGAGCCTGGGCCAGACCTACTTGCTGGTCTTGAAGGGTCTCCTGGGGAGGCAGGGGCAGCTGTGGCTTCCCTGGGGTCATAAAGGCTGGTGGCAGACATACCAGGGACCTATGTGAACTCGGGCTGGAGGCAGATTTTGGGTCCTTGGCACCAAGACTTGGCCCCACCTAACAGCCTGTAAACTCCAGTGCTGGGACGCCTCAGGCCAAGCAACCAACTGGGCAGGAATACAGCCCCAGCCATCAGCAGACAGGCTGCCTAAAGACTTTCTGAGCCCACAGCCACCTCTAGACATGCCCCTTGACACAGCCCTGCCCACCAGAGGGTCAAAACCCAGATCTACCCATCAGTGGGCAGGCACCAGAAGCAAGGAAACTACTATCCAGTAGCCTGCAGAACTGAGTCTGCAAACAGGTCAGAACCTACCCTGGGACCAACTGGTCCCTGCCCCTTGGGTGACCAGAGGGGATTGTACTGCTGGGACACATAGGACATCCCCTATGGGGGGCCACTTCTCCAAGGTTGAGAAATGTAACTAAGCTACTACATACATAAGAATCCAAATAGAAATTTATACAAAATGAGAGAGGGCTTCCCTGGTGGCACAGTGGTTGAGAGTCCGCCTGCCGATGCAGGGGACACGGGTTCGTGCCCCAGTCCAGGAAGATCCCACATGCCATGGAGCGGCTGGGCCCGTAAGCCATGGCCACTGAGCCTGCACGTCGGGAGCCTGTGTTCCGCAGCGGGAGAGGCCACAACAGTGAGAGGCCCACGTACCACAAAAAAAAAAAAAAAAAAAAGCAAAGGAATACATTCTAGATGAAAGAACAGATAAAACCCCAGAAGAACAACTAAGTGAAGTGGAGATAGCCAATCTTCCCGAGAAAGAGTTCAGAGTAATGATTGTAAAGATGATCCAAAAACTTGGGAAAAGAATGGATGCAGAGAGTGAGAAGTAGCAAGAAGTTTTTAGCA